CTTTCAAATTAACACACGTAACAAGCCACACATTGCCATAAGTACACTTGCTCGGAGTATGGACAGCATTTTGATCACACTAAACTTTCTCAGGTTGTGCCTCAAGCCCGCAACGCGGACAGAGTGCAGCAATTATAAATTTCACAAATACGTTTAACCCTTCAAAGCAAGTCTAAAAGATCTGATATAAGTGCTAACAGTAACTTTTGAAATTGCCAGAATCGATTGACAACAGACAATGACAACGCGGATCGCTACATGAGACGAGACGAAATTAGCAAAATTAGGACGAATCAAAATGCTCCAAATTTGAATAATACTGCAACTTAAATGAAATCCACTGGTTGCTATCTGGAATTGAAATTGAGAATTGAGCTCGACAATGTTCTGGAATGAAGTTAAAGTATCGTTCTAGGAAATGTGTGTGATATAAGTGTTAAAATAAATGGGAAAACCTTTACATGTGTATTTGCTATATGCACGACATTTATGTTCTCAAGAGCTTCATAGAATTAAATAGATATATGCACACTTTACACAGTATAATTATTTTCGGGAACAATATTATTATGACATGAACAACGCCCCCGTAAGCAGCGATTGGTTATTTATTATTAGCCGGCCCACACCTTCCGATTTTGCCGGGTCACCAGCTCATCGGGCCAACGCACAGAGGAGTGCGCTAAAAATTCGGACCGATCTGACCATATGAGCTCCGTGCGCCAATAAAGAGGGCGCCCTTTTACCTAGCAACGACGTCCCATGGCCGGGACATTTAGCTGGTTGACGCGCACCGTTCCTTGTGTGTGACGCACGTGCACCAGGGGATTTGTACTATGTACACGCAGTGGTACGGCCGCGGCGCAATAACTGCGAGGGTTTCTTGTCACCTAACTCTTCTTCGGTGAGTAGCATCTGCAGCCGTTTTTGCTCAGAAGCTGACGTACGTTTAATCATTTCTTCCTTGAGCTTCTGATACGGGTTTTTCTTAGGAGGAGTGATCACCAAATCACGGACTTCTTGAATAATCTCAGGTTGCACCGCAGCCAAAATGTGGGCAAATTTGGTGTCTTCACGCTTGATTCCCCGGGTATGGAATTGTGCTTCCGCTTGCGCAAACCAAAATGAGGGGATCTGCTGGCCAGAAGGGGGGGGGGGGTAGCTTGATGGACAGTGCTCCAATTTGTGGCTTATCCTCTGGCATGTCTGATTGATCAACAGTTTTGGATGATTCACCCTTTTCCGTGCTCATGATGCTGGCGAAAATTGCAAGGTGGTGCGAGAGAAAACCAGTTGTTGGGCTTAAAATGTCACCAAATATCGAAGGTGTAGCTCTTTGATGTCAGGGTCACCAAATGTAGTGGTTAGCTACATAAATAAGAACGCAACAACTCACCCTATAGTTCGTCTTATGGACACCGACGACGAAGTCGAAGCACTCCGGGTAATACGCGAGTGTATAGCAATCCAATGGGGGTGAGCACACGCGGAGTCCGTGGGGGCGAGTTGGCCCGCGAAAGTGCTTCTCGATTTCGCGAGAAAAAGTCTCCCTCAAACGAGGTGAGTACGCTCAAAGATCGTCAACTGCACGATCCAAAATAAAGTACAATAAAAACTGGATACAACTGTACAAATGCTGATACTTTCAGCAAGTTCCGAGCTGGAATAAATCACGGAGAAAGTTCCGATAACTGTGAAAGACTTTCACCACGCGGTGACACGAGAACAAAAGATGGCTGACCAAGCACGCTCATTAGCATAAGGTCAAAGTTGAAAAGGGGCACCACATTAGCCCCCTCCCAGATGGTGAATTGGGTAAAAAGGAATGAACCAGCGATAGAAAAAAATGTGAGGTTCAGCCAATGTCAATAACTTCCACATAACGCTTGGGCCAACGGACATGACGCCCTGACTTGATTGTCCTGGTGGCGGGTGGTGTTTGAGGTGATGCTGGGAGTTGAGATGTCACTGGAAGTTGTGAAGGTGGTGCTCGTGGTGGTGAAGAAGTGTTGGCATGTGCAGGAACATCCTGTACGACTTGGTGAGTGCCGGAGGAGTTAGAGGTGGTTGTACTCTCATCGGAAATTGTAGCTTCTGTGTACGCCACCTTGAGACGATCAATGCTGACTTGCTCACGCTTGTTGGAAATAGACCAGGTGAAATGTTTGTCTTTGCGGCCAAGTACAAGGAACGGTCCGTTGTAAGGGGGCTGCAAGGGCTTACGGACGGCATCAAAACGGACATAAACATGTGTGCACGACTACAGATCTTTCGGGATGTGAACAGCAGTGCCTGTGACGCGTGTCCTTGCTGGTGAAAGTTGAGCCATGTGATGTTGTAGTCGATCTACGAATGAGCTGCAATCAAGCAGAGTGGTATCTTTGGCAGGGTCAACAAACTGGCCCGGAAGACGCATTGTAGTGTCGTAAACCAGTTCAGCAGGAGAGCAACCGATGTCAGACTTGACCGTTGCACGAATGCCCAGCAGTGTGATGGGTAGGTACTCAGTCCATCGAGATGGGTCGAGATGAGACTTCAGAGATGCCTTGAGCTGACGGTGAAAACGTTCTACCACACCGTTAGACTGTGGGTGATAAGAGGTGGTTCGAATGCGAGTACTGCCAAGAAGTTTGGTGAGGGATGTGAACAGTGCTGACTCGAACTGACGTCCCCTGTCTGTAGTAATGGATGCTGGCGTTCCGAAAACAGAGATCCATCTGTCTACGAATGCTTTGGCTACTGACTCGGCTGTGATGTCACTGATAGGGATTACCTCAGGCCACCGTGTGTATCGATCTATGCAGGTCAGCAGGTATGAGAAACCATTGGATGATGGGATCGGTCCAACCAGGTCAATATGGACGTGTTGGAAATGGGCATCAGGCATCTGGAACGTGCCCAACGGTGCTTTCGTATGACGATGAATTTTTGACCGTTGACAAGGAGAACATTCACGAGCCCATTTGCGTACATCGCGCTTGACATCTGGCCAGACGTAACGAGCTGTGATGAGCTTCTCTGTAGCCTTGGCACCAGGGTGGGATAAGCCATGAATGGCATTGAAAACAGGCCGTCTGTGTCCTGCAGGCACGACTGGGCGTGGGTTCCCAGTGGAAACATCGCAAAGTATAGTGCCATTGGCAGTTGGAAGGGGGAGGTCCTTGAGGACGAGGCTGGAAGTGGAGTTTTGCAAGCCTGCAATCTCTTCATCCTCCTTCTGGTCTGCTGCAATCTGGCTGAAATCGATTGTTGTGTCTTGGAAGATCGCGGCGACATCTGGTCGGGACAGTGCATCAGCGACTACATTATCGGTGCCCTTGATGTGGCGGATGTCTGAGGTGTACTGCGATATGTAGTCCAGATGACGGATCTCACGAGGAGAGTGTCGGTCAGGCCTGGAATGCAGAGCATGAGTGAGTGGTTTGTGGTCAGTGAAGACACAGAACCGACGACCCTCAAGCATGTGTCTGAAGTGTCGTATGGTCAGGTACATTGCGAGGAGCTCTCGACCGAAAGCACTATACCGCGACTCAGTTGCTGTCAGCTTCTGGGAGAAGAAAGCAATGGGTTGGGACTCTCCCGGATTACCTTGCTGAAGGACCCCGCCAACTGCAGTGTCGGATGCATCAACTGTGACGCTTAACGGCAGGGTGGTGTCGGGGTGAACGAGCAGCGTAGCACTGGATAGGACTGCCTTGATGTCTTGGAAGGCCTGTTGGTGACGAGGATCCCAAGTAAGTGGCTTGCGAGGCTGGTTGTTGTGAGTTGCGAGGAGGTCATTCAGTGGGGCAAGGATGCGGGCACAGTTGGGGATGAATCTCCTGTAGAAGTTGACTAGACCGAGGAAACCTCTTAACTTCTTCAGTGAAGTGGGTTGCGGGAAGTCCTGGATCGTGGAGACCTTGTCTGCGAGCGGACGAATACCCTGCTTGTCTACATGGTGTCCGAGGAATTGTAGCTCTGACACTCCAAAGGTGCACTTGCTGGTATTGATCACCATTCCGTAGTGCTGTAACCGGTCGAAGAGCAGACGGAGATGTTCCTCATGCTGCTCTGGCGACTTGCTGGCAACGAGTATGTCATCCATGTAAACGTACACGAATGAGAGTCCGCGGACGACCTTGTCCATGAAACGTTGGAAGGTCTGGGCAGCGTTTCGTAATCCAAACGGCATGCGAACGAACTCGTAGAGACCGAAAGGGGTAATGATTGCGGTTTTGTGCATATCTGAAGGTTCGACCGGTTCGATGGGATAGCGGTTCGATGGGATAGCGGTCAGGCACGGTGACACGATTCAGGGCTCTGTAGTCCCCGCATGGGCGCCAGTCGCCTGGTGTCTTCTTGGGGACCATGTGGAGAGGACTGGACCAATTGCTGTCAGAGGGCCGAATAATGACCAAGTCCATTATGTGGTTGAACTCCTCCTTTGCTATGGCAGTATGATCTGGAGCTAGACGCCGGGGACGAGCTGTGACTGGTGGTCCTGTGGTAACTATGCAATGCGTGATGTCATGCAGCACAGGTGCATCTTTGCCTGTCGGTTGAGTGATCTGTGGAAATTCACGGAGAACTTTGTCGTACCTGGTTGGGTTGGATGGCTGGACCAATATGGGGCTGACGGGCATTTCTGGCGCCACTGTTCCAGTAACCAAGAGGCTAGTAGTGGTGTCAATAAGCCTACGTCGCGAAACATCTACAAGGAGTTTGTAGTGATGCAAAAAGTCTGCACCCAGTATTGGTGTTGGTGTGTCGGCCAGGAAGAAAATCCAGCGACAAGTGCGTCTGAGTCCAATGTTGAATGTTACCGACTTTTGTCCATAAGTATATGCTGGTACCATTTGCGGCCTGCAGTGAAAACGTCGACGGGTGTTTCCTTTCGACTGCGTTGGGTGGAAAAATGCTTACAGCTGCCCCAGTGTCTACTAGGAATTTCCGTTTGTGGGAAGAGTCATTGATGAAGAACAAGCGGCCAGGTTGGGTACCAGGTGGAAGTGCCGCGCCTATCCCCTGGTGGGTTCGTTTCCCTGCTGAGTGGTGTAGGAGCAAGGCTGGACGCATTTATGGGCCTCAGCACCGAAACGGCGATGGTACCAACACAATGATTGTGTGTTCGCGGTGTCAGAGGGCGTTGATTCTTGGTCACGGTTGGCACTGCGTGGGCGAGTACGACTCTGGCTACGTGAACGGGACTGGCGTTTCAGTTGCGCCTGCATGGAGCTCACTTGCATGGTGAGTTTGGAGATCTGGTCTCGCAGCTCAGCAAGTTCCCCAGACGAGGAGGGAGCCGGTGTAGTCACAACGTTGACCGGAGGGACGTAGACCTCAAGGATGCGATCAGCGAGTGCAGCAAGCTGCTCTAGCGAAACGGAGTCCCTGGATGAAGCAAGGACAAGCTGTGCGTTGGATGGGAGCCGTTGTAGGAAGAGTTGCTTGAAAATTCCCTCCTCTAGTTTGCGTTCACCGAGTAGTTGACGCATGCGACGCAATAACTGCGAGGGTTTCTTGTCACCTAACTCTTCTTCGGTGAGTAGCATCTGCAGCCGTTTTTGCTCAGAAGCTGACGTACGTTTAATCATTTCTTCCTTGAGCTTCTGATACGGGTTTTTCTTAGGAGGAGTGATCACCAAATCACGGACTTCTTGAATAATCTCAGGTTGCACCGCAGCCAAAATGTGGGCAAATTTGGTGTCTTCACGCTTGATTCCCCGGGTATGGAATTGTGCTTCCGCTTGCGCAAACCAAAATGAGGGGATCTGCTGGCCAGAAGGGGGGGGGGGGGGTAGCTTGATGGACAGTGCTCCAATTTGTGGCTTATCCTCTGGCATGTCTGATTGATCAACAGTTTTGGATGATTCACCCTTTTCCGTGCTCATGATGCTGGCGAAAATTGCAAGGTGGTGCGAGAGAAAACCAGTTGTTGGGCTTAAAATGTCACCAAATATCGAAGGTGTAGCTCTTTGATGTCAGGGTCACCAAATGTAGTGGTTAGCTACATAAATAAGAACGCAACAACTCACCCTATAGTTCGTCTTTTGGACACCGACGACGAAGTCGAAGCACTCCGGGTAATACGCGAGTGTATAGCAATCCAATGGGGGTGAGCACACGCGGAGTCCGTGGGGGCGAGTTGGCCCGCGAAAGTGCTTCTCGATTTCGCGAGAAAAAGTCTCCCTCAAACGAGGTGAGTACGCTCAAAGATCGTCAACTGCACGATCCAAAATAAAGTACAATAAAAACTGGATACAACTGTACAATTGCTGATACTTTCAGCAAGTTCCGAGCTGGAAAAAATCACGGAGAAAGTTCCGATAACTGTGAAGGACTTTCACCACGCGGTGACACGAGAACAAAAGATGGCTGACCAAGCACGCTCATTAGCATAAGGTCAAAGTTGAAAAGGGGCACCACACCATCATATGGCTGGTCATCATGTGACTGATCATCATGTGACCGATTGAAGGACGGACTCGGTCATGTGTGCGGATAACGTTGCGGTTTCACACAGCGGTAAACAAAAACCGTACCGGTGATTGGGTGATCCGGGAAACCAGTAAAATTTGGAAGATGTGCACCGGGCTTTATCTGCATCATTAATGTAGCCATGAAATATTGTGTGCACCGGGCTTTATCTGCATCATTAATGTAACCATGAAATATTGTGTGCACCGGGCTTTATCTGCATCATTAATGTAACCATGAAATATTGTCAACAATAAGACGTGAGAGTAAAGTGCTAATTGCCTAATAACCGGAGACATGGATTACATGACAGGCAAAGTAAATACATGCAGGCCGTTACCTGCTGCATATTCTATATTGATTAAAACATGTATTGGATTTCTTCAATTTTTTTTTAGCCCTCTTTGGGTATTGAATGGACGAGGAGGCAGCAATGCACATTAGATGCTTGGTTTGAAGAATTGCCACTCGATTGGCAGAGACACATAATTGAGGTGAGCTGTATTCTCTTCACAGTCCCCAAATTGATAAAAGAAGACGTCTTAATCCTAAAAGAACTGAGGGTCGTGTCTGTACCCCCCCCCCCGGGCCAAGGGGAGGGGCAAAGACATCAGTAGAGATGGCGTGACCCCATAGCCCAAAATATGGGCTATTTACGCCACTGTAAGCGGTATTCATAACAACATTTGGCGTCAGTGTTATATTCAGCATCTATATGGGCCACTTCTTAAAGACAAGCCATTTTCAAGTTTGATGATGGTAACAATGATGTTGATAATGACGCTGACGACGTTACTAATTTTAGTCTGAACGTTAATACTCTTGGGAACTTGATTTTTTTTTAAATAAAAGGTATGTGGCTGATGGCTTGCTAGGGTGATACGCAACGTTTTAATTAATTGCCTGAAAATTTAAGACCAAATAGTGTCATCAATCTTTTAATTTAAAAACAAAAAAATTGTTTGGGGATCATGGCCGCCGTTGCCCCTCCTGGATCTGCCAATGACAATAAGCTGTGATGGAATCATAAAGACAAAGTCGCCGTTCGCTTGGCGACTTGCCTTAATTTAACAAGTAATAAACGAGTCAGTCAGTCAGTCAGTCAGTGAGATAGGTAAGTTTTCAAGTGACAGCCAGTCAGTGAGATAGGTGACCAGTCTAATGTACAAGTGACAGTCAGTCAGTAATGTTGGTAATCAGGCTAATTCAAGTGATAGTCAGTACGTTAAAGATTTAAACAAGTCTCATTCACAAGTGACAGTCAGTCGGTCGGTGGGTTGGTGGGTCGGTGATATTGTCCGATCTCGGTTGGGGAAAAAAAATTTCGCGTCCCGCCGCAAGATGACCAACCCCAGTTGTTTTAGGATTGATAGCAAGGAGTTAAGCCCACTCATCTTTTCACCTACTTCAAAGAAGACTAATCCACAATTGTCTGGATGGCCTTTCATGTGTACACCAACATAAGTGAAATGAAACATGTCATAGTGTTTTTAATCTCAGTATTTTTTTCAGACCAATTTTTAATCAGCAGTTTGGTTTTACTACATTTCTTTCATGGCTGTTTCTCTTTATTTTTTCTTTATTAATGCAGATATTTCAGCTTGCCTCAGCATACACAGATCCCGTGTAAACTACTATGTGTTGTGGGAACAAGACTGTCCATTTAACAATCTACTTCACGACAGGACGGATATTTTGCCACAAGAGGGCAGAATTATATATGACTTATATACTTGCTAACTGACTGACGCTTATACACTCAGAGTTGACGTCTCGGTTCAAATCCTTTGAAGGTATTCAATTAAAGGAATGTCAGATTACATCGCAACCATTCCAGCAAGAAGCACGCTCATACGATCCCATTGAGAGTTGAACGAATGAATTAATCAGTATGGTTCTAATACAGTCCGTACCACGTGAATAACTATACATGTATATGAAAAAACGCCTAATGCCTGCTTAGTGTTGGGATCAAACTGAAATTCCACTACAGAACCAATTGGTTGTATGAACGAACCCGTAACGTAAGCATGCTGCAAAGGGAAATTCAGCATCCTACGTATTTGTTCCAAATGTCCACTCCGAAAAGAGAGGAGTAGGGGACATTTGAACAAACGAAAAGAGGACTTCCCCCACATTTTTTTGTGTATATCAAGTTCAAGTTGTCTCCTAAATTCTTAATCTGTCGAGAGCAAAGTGCCAGGATTGGATTCCAAATAGTCCGGATATGGAAAATAAAGCTTTAAAAGTACAAAATAGGTGACTAGTAAATACAACTAGATTTGCATTATCGTCCTGTAAGAATAAATAAAATTATAAATTCAGCGATGAAAAAGTTCATTCGGGAGGCCCTGTTATAAAGTTGTGTACAAAAATGGAGAAAATTCCGCAAGCTTTGATCAAGACTAATAATGCATCGAGATTAGTTGTCCATATGCTATGGCTATTAACCTTTTTATCGTTTTTAAAAGTCGACGGTGAGATAACAAAATGCCAAACTACATGTACAATTTTGCCACACCTTTACATTATGAATATTTGATTTAAGACTGAATAATAAGACCGTTTTATGACAAAATAATTCCCTGTGCGATCTGCACGTACAAACTGACAGTAATGAAAATGAATGTTGAGAGATAAATTGCATACAGCTGTGTTTACTCATTAGATGCGACACGCTAAGTCACTTAACATTGTTTATCCAATGCCAATGCTTTCGTCTCAGTTGCACAAAAACTAACTATATATGCACACATTGAAGAACTCATATACAAATCCTATACTCTACAAGGTAATTTGTTATTCGTTAGATTTACTTCCTACCCTCGGGGCATCATGTTTCTCGTGATAATATGTCATTTATCATAGTATAAGTCCATCAAGCAAAACTCAACATAAATTCATGCATAACCGACAGTATCGTTAGTCTTAATGCATATTCTGTAATTTTGAACAATAACTTTTAAGATGTACTTTCCATGCTCTTCAACAAATAGTTATGAGCATCTTCATCCCTTGAAAATTCGTTAAAGAGCCATTTTCCCTTGAAATTACAGTTAACTAAATTTTCACGGATTTTTCAACATATTTAGCCTGATTAGGAGTCCGTGAAAACACCTTTAAGGAAGTCCTTTGTTTACCCATGGAGATAGACCCAGTGTACTGTTATGTATAACCAATGATATTCCTCAGTGGCCAGAGTTATTAAAAAAAAACAGTGAAAATACCCTTACAGGATTAGTCCTATATTAGCCCCATGTAAATGTCTGAAACATCTCTTAAAGATCTTTTCACGGAGAAATGGACTTTTAATAAACATTTAAGGGATCAGATGTACTCTCGTGGTATGACGAATATTTTTTTCTTCTAAATATGGCTTTCATTTTGGGCTGGTTTTGTGCGCGAGCAGATCCGCCTTGGGCGTAGACTGATTCTAAGTCCTTTAATACATATCGATTGTGATAGGGAGGCGTAAACCAGTCAAATCAGTCAAACACTAATTTCAAATTTGTGGAATAATTTTTCCATAATTAAATGTAGGTTTACTTTTTTCGTTCGATGTCTCATTCAAAAACTTTGGTATTGCTAAAATATTACAATTAAAAAACTTTTTTGGGTGGTGAAATTTGAAAATATCATGGACAGTTCATCTTTTAAAGTCGTTCACAAAATTAGGCCTATACTAACATAAAACAACGCTGTCATTTTCGAATCTACTTATCAATCTAATATATTAAAACATTGGGACTTCATTGGTCCAGTATAGTCAATTCAAAACTATTGATGTCTAAAGATCAGTATGTAACTTTTAAATTTGATCATAATTATTATAATTGACTTTTCAAATGTGTCCAGAAAGTACTACTACGCTTTTCCAATCTCGATTAGAATAGACGTAGAGATAGTAAATGATTTTATGATTGTTTCACAAAAAGCCTAAAATCCTGACTCTGATGATTAACTATGTAATATGTAGCTGTAATGTAATATATAGCTGAATTTGGCCTAATGAGGTGTGTGACAGTAAAAGATAGAACGTAAATGGGTGTGTGTGTGTGTGTCATTTCCATCACGTCATCAACACCTTTTACGTGAATGTAGCTTAGTGACAGGTGCGCAGATATCTAAGAGGTAAATACAGGGTGAGTTCAAAAGAAAGTGACCGAATTTGAAAAATGTATAACAATTATTTGACATGCTCCATTTCATAAAAAATGGGATAGAGTACATTTTATTGACTTTTAACTGAAAATTTCACGTAATTTGCAAAGTCTATTCCCAAGTTATGTCTATTTCAATAAAAAAAATCACAAAACTGGGCAGTCCAACACTGATCATTTACCGTTCTACGAACTGACGAATATCCATTGAGTACAATGAAACATGGACGGTTTCCCCACTTTGATGAATGAAC